TATAGTTCAACAACAACAGCAACAGTGATTATTCACCTAACACAAGGCTTTTTGCATCTTGAACCTTTACATTTTCACCAAACTGAAAATTCATCATGTTAGGATCTTCCATGAAACCTGCCAGCTTCACACAATACACTTTCTCCAGTGCACCTTTTACATCCAACATAGAAAGTCTAAAATAACTTAGGTGCAATTAGACACAAAATTCATTAGCTGCAGGTGCACCTCAAGCTTCCAGAACTCCCGGCAGTCTCATCATTATGAGTCACCCTTCAGTGCATTAGCTCTAAGTGAGCCAGATGTGTTGAAATATTTAAGTCCTTGTTAAAGCCCCCAGGGATTTTAGAGATATTCTTCCACTTGTAATGTATTTGCATATCTTGCTAAAGAGATACTGAGTTATGTACACATGTTGAAGGCACGTAGGTTTCTACAAAATGCCTTAAAATACAGTCAAGTCTTCATTAAATCTATATGTTTTCGTTCTGAATAATATATTAAAATAAACACAAAATATTTAGTCTATCTAATTTTGTTGAAATTAATTTTTAAGGATCTATAAAGGCATTTTCTCATTAGAAAGTTTATGGGTACACTGAGCTTTGGAATAAATAAAGCTGTGATATATTTAACTAAAAATTTAGTTGTTTCACTTGGTTTGAACCACAAGTAAAACAAACGAGACTTCTAAAAATTTCTTAAATATTACAAAAATCAGTGCATTTCAAAATATCACTGATATTAAATGACAAACCTAAGGTGCCCTCAAATGGTAGTGCTATTCCAGTTAGCCACCCATCCTGCTCTTTGAGCACAAAAATATATGCAGCATGTCTTCCACTCATGCAGCTCTAGCCCATCTCCTAACTGCAGTAAGATGAGTTGGAATTAGTTAAACAAAATCATCATTTTGTTTCAAAGATGACTAATCTAAAAAGACAAAGTAAAACTAGGTATAAGCAAATGCAAGGCAAAACCTAGGAAAGCAAAAGAATATTTACTGTTTAAGTCCATGGCTTTTCTAGGAATGTGGATTATCAGTGCCACCATAAACTAACTGTACTAACAAACTGGGCTGGTGCTTTTTCATCGTTCCATTTTAGAATCAAAGTACCTTCAGCATCAGCAGATATCACATTGTAAGACAGTCAGCTGTTTCAATTTCAAATGCTGTACTACTGTGAGTAATTAGTAACTATATATTATTGCTACACTATGTTATATATATTACTTACTGTTTAGCAACATGAAATAATGTTATTCTGGGTTTGGTTTGATACATGTTCTCTGAACTCATGGTCATTAACCTATCCACAGCCATGGTGGGCTTTCTTTATAAATGTAGATGCTAATTTAAGTTCTGTTTACTTACAAAGTAATTGTACCAAACTATTCTGGTACCTATTGTATTCACACTTATAAGAAAATATTCAAGATATTGATGAAAAAGCTTGCTACTTTCAATATATGACCTTATTACAAAATAGCATCTGTTGGGTTTTCAGCTGGTTCTTCTAAACACATTAGGCCTTTCAGCAGGAAGCTTTATTTTTAACTGACGAGAAGCTTTTCTTCTGCTTACTAAGTGGATATCTCCAACATCTCCAACAAAGACTTTCAGCAGTAGTTTATGTCACATGTATTTAAAAGTGAAGGTGTATCCTTCCATGATGCTCAACATAATGAGAGATACTTTTTTGACAAAAACATCGTTTAAAAGGTACATTAATAGAGTAGAAGGCAACTGGACAGTTCTTGTTGGCAGTATTGCCAACAGTTGACAGTTCTTTTATTAAGCAGTATTCAGGAAGGGAAGGAGGTGGTTGTTATGTATGTACTGCAATTTAGTAATTACAAATACACCTTCAGGTTCTGAAATTTAAGCAAGGACTCCAGAAAATTAACTGTAGTCTAAGGCTTCATTTTAATTAAATGCACATTGTATATACCAGTGGAGTAGGACTGCAACTATGTGATTTTTAACAGAATCGACTGTTGATATGATTTGAGTTTTCCTTATGGTATCAAAAATATAATGAAGCATTATCTGATGAACATTTACCAGCTAATATACGTGTATTACCTACAGAGACACATTATCACAAAAGAAATTTTGAAAATATTCCAGATCTGATTTACCTGATATCTATTTCAGCACTGCATAAAAATCCCTCATCAGCAAGATATCACTGGCTCCAAGGCTCATTCTCTTCTGCAAACACAAACTCTAATCTGCTTTTGAACAAATCTCTGTGCTGATTCCCATGATCTAGGGACCTTCTGTGAAACAATGCTAAAGGAAAAGAAACCAATCAGAGCCATGTGATTTCTCCTTTTCTGCAGAACAGGTAGCTGACCTTCATGTACATCAGAAAGGAAATCTTCCTGGGAAGCCTGTGTTAAGTGAAGCAAATCCAGCAAGACTCAAAAGGTGAAGCTTGTTGATGTTTTTAAATTCTATACACTAACAGCTTCAGCTCACACGTGCCATGGCCATACTTCCACAGCATCCGCTGACTCCTATTTAAATGCCCTTTTAGGAGATCGGCCATTATGCCAACAAATTGTTGAGTTCAACATAAAAACAGGTATTTTCACCTTCCTCTTTTGTCCAAGTCTACTTGTTTTAACATCCATGAAAAGAATCTACAGGAACAACTTTCATGAGACTATCTCAGAATCTTGTTTTCATTCAGGTTACAGAGGCTGAATTTCTGCCTGCTTCAGCTAAAAAATGAAAGGTAATTTATCACCTGCTTTCAATCTGGAAAATAATGGAATCAGTTCTTCTGGTGAAGAAGGTTAACCCTGCTTTTCTATACTATTCCCTTCTTCCTATATAGGAAGATTTTAAACCTTTTGAGTGAATGAGGTGCTAACATAATTTCACACAGAAAATTAATTTTGTAAGCAGATTTACATTTTAAGCACCATCTGCTCTCTCATATGACCTCTGGCTTTAAACTAAAGCACTTCTTAAGATTGTACTGTTACAGTGAAATATTCTAAGAAAGTGCAAATTTAATTTTTTACTTAATTAAAATCAAAATCACATTTTGCAGAAATCTTCCCTCAATAAAATATGAAATCTGAAATAATTTTCTAGGAAGGTAACAATGTCCAAACATATCTGAAAACTTCACAGGTGAAGCAGACACAAGATTATAACACAAATTCACTCAAGAATTTGTACCTGTGGAGCTTGAGGTAAGTTACATCATAAAAAACCCACCATATAAACTAAATAAAGATTAATATTAACTAAAAATAAATTACTGACATTAAATACAAGTTGATTCATTCCATTACATACAAGAAATTTTATTTCCTTAGATTTTTTTAGTACCACAATAAAAGATAAAACATGAAAGTACAGAGAAACCATCATGATCCTAAAAATCAAAGTCTGATATAATTCAAAACAGGGACTAAGCAAGAAGTAAACTTTTATCACTAACTAGACAGTGCCTCTAACCAAGCCTGATAGGGCAAATCTTGTTTAAATATTTGTGCTTCTTCAAGGACCAAAATGATACCACTATGGGATGGGAATTTATCACATGATGGACATCTATTTTCATTTGCATTTCCCCCACCTTGCTAGGTGATAACAAATTCCATTCATGCTGCCATTTTTACAGAAGTACTGGCACTTTGCATTGAGAGAGAATTTTGCAGCAAAGGGAAAATGAAGAAGGGAAAAGATTTCTCACTAGTTCCCAGCAGGCTTTGCACTACAGCATCACCAGCTGCCAGTCAGACCTGACTGCCCAGGCAGTCAAATAACAATTCTTTTGAAAAAGAAAAAAAAAAAAGTCTTATTTTTTAAATGAAAATTCTGCCAGAAATATTATCAGTACTATGGTAATGACATTTTTCATACTGGATGTTTAAATGACAACAAACCAAGGCCAAGCAACTCCTCTTCCCTTAAAATAACCATGCAGTAGAAGTGACTTTAAAAGTACCTAAAGCTTGGATCATCTGCAAGCCTCCCTAAAATACTTTTTCTTCAGAAATAAAGGTAAAAGATCAGATAAGAATTTTAGTTCTTAGATCAGCTAGAATTAATTGGTATTCTGATCATCAAAAAGCAAAAAGTACTGAAGTACTGGTTTCTCTCAGAAGGAGTTTAACTACAAATGCAGTGAGAATGTATTTTAGATAATCTTCCAGGCAAGTAATGAACTTCTGGAGCTGTAAAACACTCTCCATACCACTGAGGAGTTTGGTAAGGAAATCTTAACCTACTGATAAGAATTTTATTGACCACAACACAAAAATTGACTTGGTTGTATCCCTCAATTCAGTTCTCCCTCATCTAGCATATACCATTCCCTCTGATTCTGGTGACTATACATCTACTGGTCTTGAGCGTCCAGAAGAAAGGAAGAAGATGCAGAGAAATAAGCACTTCCAAATTAATCATCTTTATGAAGCACTGAAACTCAAGTAAAAGAAAAAAAAATTAAACATTACCAAGCCTGGAACAGAAAAACAGAGAAGCATCTCTCAGGCACCAGAAAACATTTCTGATTACCTTTTTTCTTTTTTTTTTTTTAACCACAGAAATAACATCACTAGATGCAATTTTCATAGTCCTGAACACTGTCTTACACCTCCTTCTATGAACCCAAACAGAAGACTTACTAACTTCAGAGTTGCCAAAGCACACTCTGCAATATCCTACTGACAAATCATTTTATTGTTACACAAAAAATAAAGTTATCACAAAAATGCTCAATCATAGAATTGTCAATAATCCTTCAGGAGAACTATATTATATCACCCCTCTCAAACCACTGAAGAGTTCTGACTTCCAAAAGCAATTCTTGGACTGGTATCAAAATCGCCTTGTTGATTGAAATATGCATACATGAAAGCAAAATTAGGACAAAAAAGATTTTCTGAAAACCAGCATCAGAGAAAACATTTTTTCACATCCATTAACACAAACTTGTCACAAGAGCATAATTACAAACAAAAATGTAATTTACCTATAACTACATCATGGCCATCAACCAGGCCTGCAGAGAAGAGCTCCTGAGAAACGCCATCTGCTGTGTCTGTCCAAAAGGTGAAAGGAATAAGTGTAAGAGTCCACAAAAACAACAAAAAATATCAGTCATCCAATGCACTTCAACAAAAAAATATATTTTAGTTCCAAAACACCCATGGAGGCAGGATTGAATTCAAAATTATCTTTAATTAGGAGAAAAAAAAGATAATTATCTTACCAGCCTCAGCACAGCAAATCACATAAGGTAACGACTTGACTCATTGCAAAGCCCCTACAGACCTTTCCTGGCCACCAGCACTGCTCTCTTAACTAACTACATCCTCGTACACATTTTGCAAGTTCAGTATCTTCACAACCAAGAAAATAAACTGTGCTTTAGTGTGGTTTTCACTGTTTTCTTTATGCCCTCCATTGTTCTGCATATCTAGACAGAGACATGATTGAGTAGGCCTTCTGGCTTGTTGCAAGTGGTGTAAAGGACGTACATGAACAGTCATTATTTTGAGATCTAGGTTTTAAATAGCTTTTAAATATTGTGACTCAGGAAATTCAAAGCTTGGATGGATTTCCTATTAACTGCTGTACCTGCGTGGGTGATTCCTAAGTCCCTGTGACTAGTACTTGCCCTGGATGAAGACCTTAGAAGGCTTAGATGTAAGTAGGCAGGAACAGCAGGAACAAGCCTAAATTCCAAATAAATCTCAGCTGTAATCTGACCCCAGCACTTACTGTGAAAGAGACACCTCTTCCAACCTGGATTTAATTTTAGGTGAAAGCTCTTTGAAGGTTTCTCTAAATAAAGTGAATACTGACTTCTAAGGAATATAAAATAGGTTCATAGTTCAAAGGGTTGCAGTTTTACAAGGATGATACCTTCTTACTCAAAATATTAGCCTTCTGTGCATTTCATCCCAGTAATACCTGATTTTTTTTTAAACAAAGGCAACTGTACAAGTCCTTACAGCTATCAGCACTGGAAAGCCTAGAGTTCTATAAGCATGCAGTAGAGTTTAAAGTTTCAATAGCAGAATTTCTTTCTGGTGATAATACCAAAGCTAGAGATACAGCTAAACTTTCAGCTGAAGACAGCATTTGAAAAATGGTGTGCACTTTTTACTCGTTAATAGACCGTCTTTTATTATAAAAGGGAAAGAAACTTAAGTATTACTACCATCACCACATACACTTTTATAGCTACTATATTCTATTTCCAAATGTGAAAATGAAAATATTGCTAGGCAAGTTCTTATATACCATATAGATCATTTCAATAAGACATGAAATTGATAAAAGTATACTGTGAATAAAGTTTTCTAATATATATATTATGCAACCTTGCGACTAGAATTTACATACATTTACAATTCTTACTCCACTGAGGTTCAATATAAAGCTCTGCACAGTAGGAAACATTCCAGAGAGCCAGTCTGCATTAAGCATAAGCAGTAATCCATTTCTGAAATGCCTTTTTAAGCAGTAAGAGAATAATTCAGTTGCAGGAGCCTTACCTCTGCCTGGAGTAAACTCAAACCGTATGTCATTAAGTTCTTTCCTGGAGTTCCTGAAAAACAGTCAGTGCATACATTAAAATGTAATGAAGAACAGAACAACTATTCAGTTCCTACACCCAAAGAATACCTCTGGCATTGACAACCACATTTTTGTTGCATGTGCTTCCTTGAAAATACTGCTGTCACAAAGCACCTAGACTGGAAATACTCCACTGCATTTTCATGGCAGTATTTTGGGAAAACTAGCAAAAAAATATGCTTAAGTTGAAAATGCATTCAGTACCATAAAAGATAAAATAAAGTCCTCTGATAAATACTTTCCTTTTCATCTTCAAAAGACATTCTGCCATACTGACTCTAATAGTTAAACACAGTTGGAGTTGGATACCTTATCCTCCAAGGACAACAGAAGATTCACTTGGACTTAAAGCTCCCCATTTGAGGTCACATTTATACAAAGATGTTTAAGAGACAAAGTATCCAGCAAATGGTACATGCTGAGAAGTAGAGGTGATGCACACTGTTTATAAAGGGTAAATTCTTTACTCCAAATGAGTAAATTCTTTCACTGACCATCCTTGTCTCAGCAGTGAGGTTCCACCTATATACAAAATGAGCAGTAAAATGTTAAATCCCAATGTTTCTTGTCTTCCTGCTTGCCACAGAGTGTTTTAACCAGTTCAGTGTGTGACACAGTCTTAAGGGAATTAACAGCAATTTTAAAGAATTTCTTTGCAGCCTTATACTGTGCCCCATGCCATACATGCTCTCTTCCATGCATGTTTACAGCTTCAGGTTTAGTTAATACTTTCTTCCATCAACAAAACATCAGCCTCTGCAAAACAGACGTCCATCTCATTTTTGGAAATGACAAGTCAACTGAGCACAGGGAGGAACCTAATTGCTGTAGCCCGCTCTTTTTCTAATGAATAGCTCAATCCACTTGAAATGCTAATAGCAACAGAATGTGTTTTGCAGTTCATTATTCTTCTCCTCAGCAAGGAAACTGTATGCAAGCTCCTATTTCAGCATACCAAGCCATGAAGTCTTGCTGGGGGAAAACTGAATCCAACAGGCAGGCATATTCAGCTGTGACTTACATCTATTACTGCTTGCTAAATACTTCTAAGAATATTACAGAGCCAAAAACAGCAAAATGCAGAAACACAAAACCCAGAATGATTGGCAACACACACAACAGCAAGATAGCAAACCCTGAAAAATGAGTATGCCACATGCAGTGCTTAAAATGAAAAGTACTCATTTACTGAATCCACTAAATGCTTCAAAGCTGAAGGAGTTTCGAGTTCCCAAAATTCTACTCTAAATAAAGAACTATAGGAGTTTAAGATCACTAACACAAAGCTTCAGATAATGAAGCTAGCCAGCTTCATTACCAACTTCTTTCTCTCCCTCCTAGAAAAAAGGGGATGGCTTTCTGTTAAAACAAACAACAACAACAACAAAATAATATAAAAAACATCAACTTAAACCCTATCTCCAAGTTCCCTTTTGACAAAAACCACTTTCCAATAAAAGGAAAATGCACAGAAATGTAACATTATTCTTAAATAAGAAATGTTTTGACTGAATGTGTGATGTAACTCAAATCCTCATTTCCTGCACACTTCAGAAGAAAAAAAACAAGTGAATAAAGACTTTTGCACCTTTGCAGAGCTAAACCAGGAGGTAAGAACTAGATGACCTTTAAGGTCCCTTCTAAGCCAAACCATTTTGATTCTATGACCAAGAAACCTAATACATTAGGTTCTCTGATTATATCTTTCCACAGACCTCCCAAAAGCAGAACACCTACCATATAACAAGGCACCAAGTAATTATGAGCTCATGAAAATTGCCAGCCTTTCACAGCTGTGTGAAAGATGAGCTGCTCCTATACACTCTTTCCTCACGCAGGATGAACATGGCTTTTATGTTATTTTCTTTCCAAATTCCAAAATATCCCAAATAAAAAGTTAAGGAGTCAAATCAGTTTATTTTAATCAAGGTGAAAATTCAGAGAAGGTTGATATGTATTCAGCAATCCAACTTTGCTATTGAGAATTATTTCACTCTGAACTATTTTGAACTTAGGACACTGCTGCTTTCTCTATAATGATATACAACTATTCAGGAAAGAAAAACAATGAAAGTTTGGCAAGATTAATTTGCTAGAAGCCTGTAAGTGCTTTTGCTTATTGTTCCATTACCTGCCAGACATTTATTGATTTCCATAAATTATGTATCCCAATATATAATCCACCAAATAGCAGATGCACTTGAGTTCTCCCCTAAAAGCTCCTCATGCTCTTTTCCAGCCTTTAGACACTTCTCTGGTTCTAGTTAATGTCACTGTAAGTGCAAATTAGTTTGCTAGTTCCCTTGGTGAAAACAGTTTGGATTTGTTGATTTATTTGTAGGCAGAGTTTCCAAGCAGCGTTTCATTTCTTCCTTTTTTTCTTACATCCATTACACTCTTATCATGCAGCAGCATACAGACTTGATTTCTGCTATATAGAAATAGGATTGGAAAAAAGGCACTTAGTATCTTTGTGATTAATAATTTTATCTTCTTCATCATTTCTTAATGGTTCCTATTTTCTCAAATGCATTTTTGAAAAAGTTATTTCTGTTTTAAAATGCCGACTCAGACCTTTATACCATCTCTTATAATACCTCTTATGTGCTTCTAGCTCTGTGCCATTACAGACTAATATACCTTGATTATCATGGATATAACCAGCCCATCCCTCATCTCTTTTTTAAAAGTAGTACATTTTAAGTACTTTGTGCATTTTTATTCACTTCAATTTGATTTTCATTATGCACTCACCTCCAACAGGAAGAATTCCAAATGTTTTGAATAACGGTGATACCAAAGCATGCCATGCTAAGACATTTTGGCAGCCATCTTACCAGCAAAGTAATTTCAGAATCTAAAACTTCCCATTTTGTGAAAGCATGTTCTGCAATTCTTCACTGTTTTTTTGTTTTCATCAGAATCACCTGATGTGCACACCAAGATTGCAAAATCTGATTTTCAAGGGAATAATGCTTCCTCAAGGAAGCAGAAAAAGCACAAAGGCCACCCACTTAGCCCCTCACCTACAAACTTTGGCAATCCTGTCATTAGGATATAAAAGAAAGATATTCTGTTTTGAAGGAAGTATTTGCAAAACAATGCTAATATTGACCAAAATCAGGATTAGAGAATAAACAAATTATGTAACTATTCAGATTGACATGGTTCTACTGACAAAATCATAAGACATGAGAGAGATTTCAAGCATTTGCATTTAAAGACAAAAGTCTTCAAATAATTACTAATGATAGCATGATTCCTGCTACAGTCAATTATCTCTGTTCCACATGATTGACAAAAGATGTGTGTTGTTGAATTAAAACAGAAAATTGCTTGTGTAATGATACAACTTTAAATTAGAGACATTAAATGTCATTATTTCTTTTGTCCTTAAAAGCAGAATGTCTGTCATTCAAAGCAGAATGTCTGCAATTCAAGAAAATGAGATGCCTTGGAATTAAACTTTAGGACTAAAACATGCTGGAATGCTTTGGTTATGTATCAAGCAGTAGATTTACTTTCAATTTTGCCACCTTTTTTACCCTCACAAATTTATCCATCATTTCTTATGCAGGGTTATAAAAAACATCAGCTTCTATTTCACACAAGCTTCAGCATCTCCCATACAGCATTCAGGGAGAGTCTGTGTTCCTGGATGAGATGCATCCTACCATAGCTAAATAACTGTATATTCTTCCTTCCCAATGTAAGAAACAAATTTCTCAGACAAGGTAAACCAAAAGAAGTGTGTGTGCAGGTGTGTAAGAACATCCACATTCTGTCTCTGCACTGCTTGCGTAATTTTCAGAATTCAGCTACTCAATCATCACACGTGGTTTCCAAAGACTGATGTAGGGAGCTAAGTGTCCAAGAATGCAGGTACTGACAGAATGGCAACCACCACAGCTGACTCATGGCTGGAAGAGACAACAGCAGAATGCAGAATGTGTATTCTTTTCTAGAACCAGAAATAAGCTCACCTTTAACCAAAACTGTAGAAACTTTATTATGAAAAGCACCATAACAATGGTGCCACATGGCACCCTCCACCAGTCAGATTTTTCCCTCCTCATATTCCTAATAAGCCCTATTCCCACCAGGACAGAAGCTCCTCCACCACCAGGGACTAATGACACTGGCCAAGCCAGTGTGCTTTAAGAAAAAACACATGCTTAAAACAAACAAACAAACAAAAAAAACCAACAACAATTATCTCACTTGTACAAAATTTCAGTCCCGCAGGTGTTCCTACCATCTAAAATTTGAACTGCATTGAAACTACCATGGAAGCAAAGTTAGAATGGAAAAAACAAGACAGCATAGCCTAAGAAGCAAGGGCGAGCAGTTTGGCATTTGTACTACCTCACTGCAGTGTTGCTGTAATTAAAACCACAGAAGAATTCAAATGACTTGCTCATTTAGACTGCAGAGAAAGCAGAAGTTCACATCAAAATGAAGTGGACTAATCAGAGTGATAGGTGGGTTTTACATCCTAGAGCTGTACTCATCCAATTTTCATTCTACATCTCTGGGGCAAGATCTTGGTGCATACAATGCAAGAAATATAATTGAGGAGGGAAAAGTACAGAAGAGTGGGGTTCGCAGGTTTGTTTAAAAGAAATTTTACTTGCATTATTTTTCTTGCTGGAAAAAATGCTGGAGAGACAAATGTTTGGCCTCACCAAATGTCACTCAGATTTCAAAAGGTCATCTGCCTTTTCTCAATAAAGTGTCACCCATTTTTCTCTTTCACCTGCTTAAGGCAGAAAGCCCAGGATAAATACAGTTCCCCCACGTAGCCTACGTAGCCTTGTTTTCACACTGCCAGCTTATTTCACTGCACTTATTTCATTGTATTTTTTTATTAAAAGCAGAATTTTAAGTATTAAATACCTGTACTGATGATCTGCAGTACCTGTTTATTATCTCAGTTTTGATTAATTAAAACTTTATCTCAACTTTATTTAC